AGAACAGACAAACCATAGGCTTGGAGGAAATATTTGCAAATCATCTATATGATAGGGGACTTGTATACAGAACATATAAAGATGCACTAGGCTCCAAGTGCTGTCAACAGCGGTCTCCAGGCAGGCTCAGTACATGCTCACCACAATCCCCCAAATAGTTATCATGATCTCCATTTTACAGATGAAGAAATTAGTACCCAGAGAGATGAAGTATCTCAACCAAGGTAATAGTTCTTAAGTCCAGGCAGAGCCGGGGGCCCAGGCACGTCTGGCTCTAAAGCAGTGGTTCTTAATCTTGGTTACACATTTAAACACCTAGAGGGCTTTATAAAATCACACTGCTGATGTTCCACCCCAGACCAACTCAATCAGAATCTCTCATCAGTATTTAGAAATATTCTCCAGGTAATTCCACTGTGCAGCCAAGTTTGAGAATTGCCCATTTAAAGTGAGAGTTCTTAAGTTGTCAGCTAGCATTTCTCAAACCTGGGCTGTTCATTAAAAATATAGATTCCCAGGCCCCTCTCCTGCAAATGTGGAACTAGATGCCTGGGGTGGAGCCTAGCAATTTTTATTTTTTGCAATCACCCCTGATGAACATCCAGACATGTGTCTAATCTACCTCCCCCTACCTCCGGGGCTGCAAGGAAACAGACCAGGGGGCCTCGGCTGCTGATGCAGGACCTAGAGCTGTGTGCCGATGTAGAAGCAGGTGTCAAGGGCACCGTTGGGCCCTGGAGCAGCTGGGGCAAGGAGGAAGGGGAAAGGAGGGTGAGAAGGGTGACTCCTAGGTCCCTCTGCATCCATACACATTGGTTCTTGAAAACAGCACCACCCCATCCCACTCCCAGCCCCAGAACAACCCAACTTGAATAAGACTCTTGCAGAAAGCAGTATTTCCCTCTCTTTTTTATGGTTTGGAAACTCCCTTTCCTGGGTACAAGGAATGGCTTAGAGGGCGGGTGGTGGAGAGAAAAGTCCGGATTGTAGCAGGGGACCCTACAGTGTTTATTCCTTGTGGACAAAGATAGGGCCTGTGAAAAGGAATGCAAATCCAATTAAATTCTCCCCCTCTGCCACCACGTTGTGAAGCATTTGTGCTCCTTACGCGGCTGCTAGACTCAGGCTGTTAGAGGGTGCCTGTCTCTCTCTTTCAAAAGACAATTGCTTCGAGACAGCTGGCTCCTAGGGGACACAAGGAGGCTTCAGAGAATGAGGAAACTCCAGGAAGACAAAAATAGCCTCTTCAGCCAAGATCAGATTTTTAACAGCTTTGCTTTCCTTCTTGGTGCTTCCCAGGAACAAGCCTGGAGTGAGAACAGGGGCATTGTCTTGTGTCTGGAGGCAGACAGAGGCGACATTTAAAGGCTGGCTCAGTAATGGTAAGGCAGCTCATTCAAGGATCCAGAGCAGGCTCTTACAAGCCAGCAGGGAAGGGAGGCTCAGGAGGTCTCTCCCTGGCCCTCTGGTGAGACAAGTGCTACAGGGTGGGCTACCCCAAGAAGGGTCTGAGCAGAGCTGTCTGTGAGGGGGTTCAGAGCGGGGCAGTAGCAGTGCGGCTGCCCTCTGGGAGTTTCAGTGGAAAGACCATCCCCACGGGAACCTAGAGACCCAGAGGCGTGCAGAACACTGCAGGGAGTCTCAGACACAGGAACACACAGAACCGGGATGCTCTGGTCAGAACCTCAAAAATGCAAGTCTCCTGCATCCCAAGGGAGGGAGTCAGATTGGAACCTCCACCGACTATGAAAACGAAGCTCATCCTGGGCAGTGAGAATGAGCAGAGGAATTCCTGGAGAGAAGCTCCCAGTTTTCCAGGCTGAGAGGGAGGCCACGGGAGCGGTGGGGCGGAGGAAGGTCAGCGTGGGAGCTCAGCAGGGAGGCACACTGCAGGGTCGGCCCTCCCCACTGGACTTCACGGTGGAACAAGGAGAAGAGGACACTTTCCTCTTCTTTTCGGTACCTGGGGCAGCCCCCAGGCTGTGTGTCAGGACTGAGGGCCCTGCGTGGCTCCTGTCAGGGCAGAGGAATGCAGGGGCAGGTGTTCTGCACCTTCTGGAATTCTGGGGTCCTAAGGGACTTGCTCTACCTTCAAAAGAGGCAGACCTCCCTAGGAATTCCCTCCCCCCATAATTTCTCCCCAGGGCAACTCTAAGCACGGCTGACCCCCAGTGAGAAGGTGGAGGACAGGGGCAGGGAGAGGTGGGAGGAGGTCCCCAGAACTGGGGAGTGATGCGAGTCAGTCTTTACCTGCTCCTCCCACCACAATGTTGTCTCCTGCAGGGAAAGACTGTGGTCCTTTTATTCACCCCCATCCCCAGGGTCTGGCACAGAGAAGGGGCCCAAGACTCACTTTGTCACCTGCTGAGTGCGTGCATGTGACGGCAACTCCCTACCAGGGCTATGTCTGGAGCTCTCTCTCCTCCTCCTCCTCTTCCTCTTCCGACCTTGACAAAGAAAGCAAAGGATTTGAAACAAAGGTTTTGAGAGACGGAAACGCAGGGTCTAAAAGCTGGGAGAACGTGCACTTCTGTGGTTCAAGAGAATGTGGTAAACTTTGAACTTGCGCATAAGGAGAAACTGTGTAGGCTTTGGAGGAACTAAGCAACCTTGATCCTGATATCCTAATAGGCATCACACTGCCAGCTCCAGGTTGAGGAATAAATAAAATGATGCATTTAAAGTACCTACCACCTAGTAGTTGGGCAATATTATTTTATTCATTTCCTTCCCTCTATTCTTATCAGAAAGTTCTCCTAACAGGTCCTTTCTCCCAGCCCAAGGCTGTATTTTCCAGCCATTCTGCTGCAAACCTCTCAGAAGTCTCCAGCTCCTTCCAGGACAAAGACTGTACCACGACTCATAGGGGTTAGGCGTGCAGGAGGCAAGGTGTTCAGAGGCTGCAGGGTCCCGTGACTTGGAGAATATCCGGCAGTGAGAACTACATGTGGGTTAGGGCGCCATCCGGCGGAGCTACCCCAGAAGCAAGTCCTCACCAGGAGTTTCTGGGACTATTGGTGATTATCACCCTCGGGCGCTGTCCCCTTCACTTTCCACGCTCCTCTTCAGCCTTGGACGTCCTTGCCGCGCCCGCCCCTGACCCCCGGCCCGCGCCTCCTGCCGCTGGGCCGCCTGGGCGCTGCTCAAACGGCTCCTAGTTTACCGGTTGCTTAGCAACCCCGGCCCGGAAAGCGACGCGAAATGCGCGGAAGGAGCCCCGAGCACGTGACTCCCGTCCCGCCACGTGGGAAGTGCAGCCCGTCCTTCCTCCCTCGTTCTCTGGAATTAGGAGAAAAGTTGACTGGGTTAGTAAACTCCTAGTAACGGTAATGAACGTTTGCAGGAGATTTGCCAAGGCGCTTATCCAAGTCTACAAAGATGCATTGGGCAGGGTCCGGAGAAAATGCAAAGAGGAGTCGGTGTTTGGGAAGCCCCGAACCCTGGTTGGTGACGGCTGGCTCTGCTGTTTGCTTATGATTTGGGCAGGCTGTTGACACCCCTTCTTTCGGATTCCTCTTCAGTGAGATGGGAATTATAACCCCACCCTCCCCCTTGCTACCATGTCCCCTGCATTGTCTAATAAACACGTCTGACGACACCACTAGAGTGGAAGCTCCTTGAGAGTGGGAGCTGGGCATTTCCACAGCTTAGCTCCACGGTTGGCACGTTGTAAACATGTATTCATTGAGTGAATGTATTAAATGAATGAAACAGTAGTCACTGAATTAATGAACGAATACAATAAAACCATGCATGTTTCTCATGGGTTTAAGGCAACTGAGATAATATGGAAAAAAAAAAAAAAGGAGATTTAGGGTTAGAAACACGAGTTTGAATCCAAGATTGGCCACTTAACTAATTGCATGACTTTGGGCAAGTTACTTTCCTTTTCTAAGACTCAACTTTCCTCATCTGCAAAGTGGGGGGATGGCGGTGGCTCATATAGGATAATTAGGAGGGTTAAGTGCGACAACACAGGGGCGTGTCCAGCCCTGTGCTGAAGGCAGAGTCAGCGGTTCCTGAATGAACGCCAGCTCT